GATCAGATTGTGATCTAAAAAATGTTATTGCTACTTTCCAGATAACATATTGAGCGAGTCATCGAGCAGGCTAATTATGCAAAGCACAAAAAGTGCGACTGGACTTTTTCATTAAAAAATTTATTCATACTTGACTGCATTTCAGGTGTGCAGGAAATTGATTCATTTCCACGGAATATTTCGCAAAAAATCAAACTCGCGTATGTTTTAACAACGGTTTATTTATAGGTAACACATGTGTAAGTCAGTTAAAATTATCACAGCTTAGTTCTTCTGTCGCAGCCCGAATCACGGCAATTTGGGGTGTAAGTCCTCACATTTGATATAAGGGCTGACGCAGGAAGCCAATCCGATCAAGTAAGGAATGACGTTTTCCTCCATCACTCCAGAAAACAGGTGAGACCACGGGCCATTAGCAAATATGGCTACATCGTCCGCGCCATGAGTTTCCTTCTTCTTGGGAACAGTCGACGGCCACTGGAACTCCAGATTATCTAAAGAATCCCAGCTTAAAATTGGATTTTTTTCTGGCGGAACAGTCTTACTCATTTCTTCTAGAGAAGGCACATATCTTTGGCCAGTGGCCATAAAGGGCTTGTAACCAGGCCCATTGGCGTAGTTGAGGATGGTATAAGGGTCTTCATCGCTTGCGGTACCAGCGTATCCAAAAACGTCGCTCCCTCTGGCTGCATATCCAGCATAGCTCATTGTATGTGCATGATCTGCAATAAAACCATCGTTATCTACTAATCGGTTCTTTCAATTTTTCTTCGCCTACCAGACGTAACAACTATAAGAGTATCTTGCTGGTTTGTCAAAGAGAGAGCCTTCTGGACAGCCTTGGAAAATTCGGCGGTTTCATCCAGCGCCTTGCGCGCCCAACTCAAATGATGGGCCGTATCGATTCTACCCCCTAAACGAAAGATTTGTTAAGCAAAAGTTCATTTTTGAGCAGTTAGGATGAACCTTCGACAAGTAAGAAATAGCCGGAAGAGCCAGGTTTGTCCAGAACGCGAAGAGCTGCTTCAGTCATTTCTTCTAACGATGGCTGAGTTTGGGGGTCTCGTTCCAGATTGTAGTTCAAGTGATCAGGCTGGAAAAGTCCTGCAATGAGAAACAAAAACAAGGGTGTTAAACTTCTGCAATTGAAACTGTTCCTTCAGAATTCCAGAGATTTTTCAGAAGACATCCATGTTACTACCTGATGGACCTTCCGAAAATACTGCGGTCTGAAGGTTGTTTTTGATCGATATCAACTGAACCACCTTGTTTGGATCGCGAACATTTATGCAAGCCATAAAATATAGAATGCAAACTATTCAAATTTATTCAAAATCGCTTAATAGTGCGCATTTTTGGCAGGTATTTAATAAATATCGGAGAATGGTATCATATTTACGTAACACAAACAGCAGGGAACTGGGCTTCGAGTAACATATTTAAATATTTATTTGCAAGAGATGCAAGGAAATGTCGGATGGTTGGGAGAAGAAATGGGAACGAAGCAAACACATCAGAAGCTGCTAGCATTAATTAGATAACGAAATTTGAACAACAGAAAAGTAAAATTGAAATAGGGTTTCAGCGGTCATTGCTTGAAACTGCGAAGTTTTTCGAGCTTGGAAAACTAGTTCTTAATAACGTTTCAGCGGACTGCAGCTTTCGGGCGAAGACCTCTGAGGATGTAAGCGACTCATGCGTGCGAAACGTTCGAAATAAATTATTTTCCAGGCCGGCCGAAAACCCCCAAAAACTTACAATTTACAGATCCATTTAATTTGTGCTACTGATTAATGTTCTGGTTCTTATTGAATACTCCATTGCTTTTCTTTCTCCAGTTCTGAAACAGTTTTTCTCAAAATCTGACCAATTTATTCAAACAGTTTCCTTAGGGAACAATGAAAGGCTTTGCCATCAGCAGAGCCGTCAAGACCTCTTGAAATAGACCTCAGGCACCCCCAGAACCGGTTTCGAGCCGGTCCTGGGGGTGCCTGAGGTGAGCGCGTTTCAAAATCTGCACTTGTTTAGTTCAGTTTCCTTAGGGGTTTTGTGAGATTTGGATGCATCGAAGCGCCTTTACTTTTCCTCATTTTCAGATTTTTACAGGCTTACACCAACCGAGGATCGGCAGCGATTGGAAGTTGACTCGACCAGACTTGAAGACACAAAAGGTTTTGGAGGGTGCAACCCTTTCGCTTACCCAACAAATATTCAGTGTTTTCCTTCACGTTGAAAAGTCGTTCTCTGTTCCAAACGTATTCGTACAATTGGCCTTGGCTTTCGCGGTATCTCTTCCACTCCTCTATCAGGTTTACTCCGTCAGATCGATCGCCACTGTTCCCGTCTTCATCTTGCACTTCTCTGGGAAGAAAGTTCTTGCGTCCTCCACCTAAATCGATTAAAAGAGCATCTTGAGTATGAAGTCCTGTAACTGCTTAGTGTAGCAGATATTTGCAGAAAAATGTAAATTAACGAGACAAATATGAAAATCTGAGCAATGAAAAATGAACAGCATATACGCACCTAAAATAACATTCAAGTTTCGTCCAGTGCTTCCGAAGATAAGCTGATGAGCAATGTCTTCACATTGGGTGATGTCGCCGTTGAAATTCATAACATCAGTGTCGGATTCCCAATCACGCTCAGAAGTGTGTGCATAAATTCCTACGGAAAGTAAACGTTTTTCTTGCAATTTTCTTCAAAAAAACCGCTTAAAATTAATTTAAATACCTGCGGGCGTTGCATGTGTAACTCTCGTTGTCGTCACTACTCCAGTTCGCTTTCCTTTCAACTGAAACAGTCTGGCAATCGAGTCCACTTGGTTTTCCTTCATATTCATAGCTGAGCAATTTTTTTGCTTAACTGCAGCCGTTACCCCTATTGTTCCCAAGTTCGCTTTAACGCCTCCCAAATACGCTGTAGCTGAGCAAGCTGAGTCAGCCGTCTGATGATCTACACAGTAAGTCTGAAACATTATCAGAGGGTTTTAGTTGCTGAAGTAACTCATTTTCTTTATTGGACATTGCAAATATTAGTCAATAATTTTCGAAATTTCATCACCAACTAGACGACAGATTAATTGACCATTAACTACTGGCATATCAAGGATTAAAATAAATAATTCAAAGTACATTGTTCATTGCATACGAACCAAACAATTGTAGATTTCGTTGCCTTTGGCCTCACCTTAGATAATCCGGTGTATGGAAATTGTTCAAACGACAAAGACTTCTCTTCTCCTCCCAAATACACTCTGGTGGCAGCTATAGTTGGGATGGACATTCCGTCTCCCAGGAAAAGAATTACATTTTTGGCTGTATCTAAAGGAAATATACGCACGCTAATAAAACTTCCCACTTTTTGAAGAGAATAATGTGGAAAATTGGCGCAAAGCTGCGATTTCCGAAACAGTTTTGGAACCAAAAAGACGTTTTGACAATTTTAATTTGAGGAATTGAACGAATGTAGCACATTGTCACTAAAGCCGCTATGAAGAAAGCGAAAATCAATCGCTCTTACTAAAGTTCATGTGATGGCCCAGTCGTTCTGCGATAGCATTTAACGCAACATCCTTCCAGTACTCCTTTGTTTCTTCAGCTTTCAGTTCTTCGGGACTTTTCATCCTCATCAACTTGTTCGCGTACGGCTGCACATCGATGTCTTGAGCTGGAAAAATCCCCATAAAATACAACTAAATTCCAAAATCCCATTTTGTTTTATTTGCTGTAAAATTAAATTTCTCTTACCCTGATAGTCACGTTTCTTAGTCGTTGAAGGTTTAGCCACAGAGACACATATCAAAACACAACCAAAAATAAAAGCGTTAAACAAATACATCTTTTTTTCAAAGAAGTTTGCGATCACTGGACAGGATTTCTCGCATTTAAAAGTACACGAACAATTAGATTAATACCGGTGGAACGGTAAATGATATAAATATCTGCACATAAATTGGCATTTCTCCCTCTTAGGTGCATAATTTTAAGGTCAGAGTATCAAGCCGAGTGCTCTTGTCAATCAATTAAAAAACCTCATTAATTCACAGTTTTGCATTCAACGCTTCTTAATTTTCATTGTTATCCTTGGAAATCCTGTTAAACGTTTTTGTGAAATTCCCTGTCCGCACGCGGTTTATCGTCGCCTCGTAACAAAAAATCTCTAAATGCACTTGATAATTATTCGTTTTACGGACAATATCGTATTATCGAATTGAAAAGTTTCACGCTAAAGCTCTGAAACACACGTTAAATAAATGCTAAACCTTAAAAAAAAAGTGAAATGTTTTGCAAGCCCATTTTTCAGCTGATGAATGGCGATTTTTTTAATCCTTGTAAATTGAGATGAGTTTAGATAAAATCTACTATCTTCTACATATTTTATGGTTACCAAATTCTACTAGATTACAAACTATTTGGAAATAGCTGCTTGATTTATTCCGTTATATGCCAGACCAGAAAAAAAATTTGATTAGTCTAAGTTTAGCGCAAATTGAACTAGTAATTGCTTCCAAGTCAGTGAAAACAGGAAACGCACATTATAACGTTTTAATATTCTGAAACTGTATCCAAATCATTCAAAAACAAGGAAATGGAAGGCTTAACTTAATCATTAAATAATTTCAAGTGAACCGGTTGGTTTCCTAACTCCATTTGTAGTTTTATAGAACTTTTAACATACCCTTTAAAAAATAATCGAAAAATGTATTTTCCTCAATCGCAAACATCCAATGTCGAGAGCCAGTTCAAATTTAAATTATTTTTTAAAGCGTTTGTCTAAACTCTGCTCTCTAAAGTTTCAAATTTTAGATAGATGGTATCAGGAAATTTTAAGTTTTATTAATAATAAAAAGTACTTTTTTCTGCTTCTTGATTCAGTTCGACAGGAAAATTTTCCTTTAGAAGACCAGAAGTTTTCCAGTTCCTTTACAGAAGTTTTGCCATTGTCTTTCATATTTTAGCAACAATATTTCAAGCTTATTTTGCTCAATTAATCAAAACGCGTATGAACAATTGTCTATTTGTCTAATTGTTACTCTCTTATTGTCTATTACTGTATTAAGTATTTATGAATCTATTGAAAGAAAACTTAATCAACAGTACAATTTTCTAGCAATAAAAGATGCAAAGAGTTGGTTTATTTTCTTCCAATCCTTCCAAGTTCACACTCTTCTGCTACTTTAATAGGCAACAAACATTTCTCTCCTTTAGCATTTTTTCACTTTATTAGGCTTCATAGTGTACGGAATAAAAACATGACACTTACAAAACCTGGATATGTTCGAAACATTGAGAATACAAGTTTGCACCGCTCAATCTGAAAAATCTGCTTTAATTTTCAATTTCATATTCTCTTTTATAGTAATTTGCTTGTTTAAGGCTTTTTTCGTATTCCCAAGTTCCCACATCTGGAACATACTAGAAAAAAAGTGCAATTATTGTAAAAATACAGATATTGTATTTTTTGTATACTAAACAAGAACTTCTGCTAAAGCAGGAATAAAAACCGATATTTAAAAGCGAAATTAGCATACAACATGTCATATAAACTTGGTCAAAAGCAAAAGATCTACCAAGAAAAATAAATTGAGCTGTAAGCAATTCAGAAAATTTACTGTTTCGCCTATATATAGCAAGCTTAAGAAACGAAAATGATTACAATTTCCTTACACGTCTAATGGTTTACTTTAATAGTTGAACAATAAGATAAATCAGCATTTAAATGGCAAGATTGAAAAAATATGAGTATTTTATTTCTCCAATTTGTTAAAGCCTATTAGTGAATGTATGTTTATATATTATAATTATCTTAATCAACCTATCACATATACGTTTTAATAAGAAAATTTACAACTAAAACCCTTTGTCGCGAATTCAATAGCAATCGTTACATTTAACATCAGTCCTAAAAATACATTATTTCCTACAGATTACATTGAACATTTATTCTCAAACTATTCTACTTTTGCCGTGGTTTTGGTAAACTCAAATTTTCAATTGATTTGTATGATGGGGGAAGCGCAATTTTGAAACCTGCAAATTTTTGCAAAACAAAATTTCAAATCGTATTGTAATTATAATTTTGATATCTTTTACCTTGATTATTGTTCAATAGCAAAGTGAAATTATGCCCCATCATTTTCAGATCTGAATAACAATTTAAAAATAATAAATCAAAAATGTATAAATGTTTGTCTTATTTTTTCGCTTAGATGCAGAATGGAAAATGGAGCCAAACTCGTCAGGTTTGCGCCAGCTTCAAATAAATATACATAAAACGATTTGGAAACGACGAAAATAAAAATCCAATAATTAGCTGCATAATTGCAATAAAGTTGTACAACAAGGATGGTTGTACACTTACCTTACCTTATGATTATAAAAATGTATAATAAAGACTAGAATTTAGTAGGAAGACTTAACAACTTTACAGAGTGATAGGAGGAAAAAGCAAACGGGTGGCAAATAATCCTGCAACCAAACACCAAATCAAGTTAAAGTTAAAGCTAGAATTCGTATGGATATAAATGTGTATAGTAATCCTTCTGGTAGAGCCGTGCATTAAGTCAGTAGCAGTCAAAAATCTAGTTGAAATTGGACCATTTTTCAAGCAGTCTGCGTTACTAGTTTTTGGAAGTGAGAATTCCCACAAACTCTGAAAGCAAACGAATATTTTCGCAAATCATTCAGTTTAGAAAAAAGTGAAAAAAATGGTTTAAGCAAAATTAAATTACCTTCATAGTTCACTTGGCCATCTCCATCTAAGTCTGCTTCTTTAATCATGTCATCAACTTCTTCTTCGGACAATCGCTCGCCTAAACTGGTCATAACATGGCGCAACTCTATACTCGATATCAAGCCGTCGTTATTTTTATCAAACACCCTGAAAAACCCCAAACAGTCTTAACTACTGATTAGTTAATGGGAAAATAGACATTTTATATGCACCGCTTTGTAAGTGGTTTTACGGAAATACATAAACATGCTGCTGTATTGAGATCCCGCTTTGTTTTCATCGAATTTGCTTCAATTTAATTAAATCGAATGCTCCCAAGTGAATAAAGTTCGAGCACGCAAACCTAAATCCCGTTTCCTAAATATCGCAATTTTGCTTCAGGAAACTACAGCCTGATATAAAAATAACAAACATTTTATGTCCCTAAACTTTAAAAATTGTTGCCTATGTACTAGAAAGGCGACGCTGGGATGAAGCCAAGTGCTTGACAATTTATACTAATGGCTTTACGCGTATATGTAATACGTTTATTCTGCAAATATGGAATATTTTCAGTTTGTGCCCAATTTTTAAAGGACATTCTTTGGAACTTTCTAAGAATACTTTCTTCGATTCTAAGTAGAAATAAAGAAAAATGTAATTTAAACTATCGAAGATAAATTGGTGAATCTCTGTCGATGTTTTCGTTAATTACCTAAACGCCTCCTTAAGTTCCTCCTCACCATCAGCGTCTTTCATTTTCTTGGACATCATCTGCAGAAATTCGTTAAATTCTATGGTGCCATTTCCATCCTGGTCCACCTCGTTCACCATATCTCTCAGCTCCGTCTCTGAAAAATTATATCGACTTTTAACACCCGCTTATTGTTCTATAAAATAAAAACAAATTTTTTTCATTTTCGAAACACATAAACTTGTGCGGTCGCTTCTTGAAACTGGTGATTCTTTCGCGTTTTTAGGACGTCGGGAATCAAAATTTATCTCCGGTTTGCATCTTCAGAAGTGGTTCGCTTGGTGCAGCTACTTAAAAACTCGAAAAAATCGCCACTTTCAAGAACACAAATCTTATTGATATCAACAGTTTTTTACTTGCAATTAATTGCAGACAATCTCAGTATGAAATTGATTGTTTGGTACGGGTCACTAATAAGGGTCACATTGAATTGGTTTCTTTAAAGAATTAACGTAAAAATGATTCTATGGACTTGCGGACCGCATCACTAAGCATGGCATTGGTTTCTGAGTCTGCTTGATTAGATATGAACAGAAAAAGCAGCTTGACAACACGGATAATTGAACAAAATCGTATAACAAAACAAATAATAATTTAGCTTTTCCAAATAGCTTGATGTTTCGCAAGCAGTAGCGGCTGGCATCTTCAGAGGAATTTTGCTGGAAAGCCAAGCAATGTAGTCCGGAAACTGATGAGTTTTTCAGCTTTTCAGCCATTATGGAATGGAATTTCCAAGGTGGTTTGCAAATCAACTCTGAAAATGTAAGTCACTCGTTCTTGCGAAACATCAGGTGAAAAGAAGACGTTAAACAATGTTTCTTGTTTTGGAAATTATCTAATGATTAATCAATATTGACTAGAATTTTCCTACTTCGACGCTCTAGTAGAATATTGTTAGTCCAAGAGCAATTTACCAGTACTTTGCAAAAAACTTGTTTTTAAATAAAAATCAAATTTTTACCTGTTGGTCTCTGACCTAGAGACCGCATAACCACTCCTAATTCGGCCATAGTGATCATTCCATCTTCATCTTTGTCGAAGAGCATAAAGGCCTCTTTGAATTCGGCGACTTGATCTTCCGAAAGTCCATATTCAGTCTGCATTAAAAAAATGCCTGATTCATTGATCTAGTGAAACTTTGCAATAATTCGTTAAGTTGAACTCGTTGAAAAAACCATCAGCAAAAATGTAATTAATTAAAAACTTGAATATACAGAGTCGTGTAAATCCGAATGGAATAAACAGAATTTTTTTATTGATACAGGTTTTCAACATATTGCAGGATAATGCAAGTATTTCAAAACTCTGCCAATGTGCCAAACCAATATGTTTTTCTCTTTTTTTTTCACTGATTCCGTCCATTTAGCCAGCTAAACAATTTGGAAATTTTACTGGTTTATCACCTTGACCAGGGTAATTTGTATATGATGTGTATTTCGTCGCCAATATGTAAATTGCGGCTCTAAAAATAATTTATTCTTATTGGCAACCCGTGCGATGGAAAACGGTTAAAGCGGAAATCAAGCAAGTTGATAAACATTTAAATACAAATTTCACACTAGCAGACTTGCACCCCCAAGCAAACTTACGCTAGTTTGTTGAATCTCAAGTTCACTGGTCAGCCGTTTTAGCCTCGAGTATTCTTTGTCATATCGATGGCTATTATTTGTCATTTTAATCACACGATATTGAATATGGCAACAAGAAAACGGGCACCGAGCCTGAAATACAAAGTCTATTAATAATTTTTTGGAAAAGCCGGCGGGCAAACGACAACTTTTGCCACTTGAGAACCGAGCTCTGCAAATAATGAGCTGATAGAGTTGCACCAGCTACTAACAATACGGTTTGGAGATTTTTTCATACAACTAAATGGAAATTTAATGTAAATAATCCCGACGTTTTGCAGCCAGTTTAAATTTAATACTCTGCTTGTTGTGACATTGGATGGACGGCAAATGTCGGTACGCAGTTATCTAAAGATAGAATTGCCGCATTTAACCGACTCTTTAATCATCCTTTTGAACCAAATTTTTGTCAAATTTTTCTTAAAAAGCTTCAATAGTCCCAACTGGAATTTTGAACTTCGAACTGAATTTTTGACCTGGTGTTTGAAATCGGTCCAAGAGGAAAAACGTTATTCCTGCTGGACCAAAAACCATTTAAAACCCGCTCCGAAGAAAAATGTAAAAACGTTTTGAAGCATGATCATTTTCATGGCTTTAGTTTTCAATTACGGGAAAACGTCCAGCGAAATTATGTAAATCCCAGAAAATCCAGTTAGGAGAACCTGTTGTGTTACTTTTACTTATTGTTTATTTATCTGGAATTATTGGCAGCAGATGGCGAATACCGCAACAGTTTATTTTTCTAATTTTTTATTTTTCTCATTTTATTCGCTGCCAATTTCAGTGTCTGGTCTATTGCTACGGTCCCATTTGAAGATCTAACTTTTTATTTCAGACCCACAACCAATAATTTAAATAATTTGTTTTAATACATAGATAAGTGAAAACTAATGTTTTCTCTTTCCAATGAGGAGGTCAAGCGTCCTGCCACAGGTTCGAGTATTTTTAAATTAATTGTTTAACATTTATGGTTCTGTTAAACGCGTTGACGCGTGCGGCAAGCACTGCCTCAACAGCCTGCCCATATTCTCCAGATTTTCCCGAAAAGTAAAAAACATTTCTTCTGGATATTTAAAGCGAATTTTCATCTTTCCAGTCGAGTGGCAATCGCTCTTCCATGTACCTTCATCTTTCCAAAACTAATTTTTGAAGAACACTCTCGCACCGGAGGAAGACGTCGAAGCGCGTGTTAAGGAATGCTTTAAAATATTACAAATGTTCTCCAGATTTTTTCCCAAAATTGAAACTCTCTGATCGTTAAACCTGGACTTTCCTCTATTTAATTCAGTCAGGTTCACTTCCATCTGTCCCAGTTTTCGCAACATTAGTTTTTGAAGAACATCTATGCACCTGAAAACATCTTGAAGCGCGTGATAAGAATTGTTTCAAAAGGCTGCCAATATTCTCTAAATTCTGTGTGAAAAGTGCAACTTCTTGGACATTTAAAGCGAGTTTTTCTCTTTTCAACAACGCGCCCTTCTATGTTGTCCAGGTTCCTCAACAACAAGTTTTGAAAAGTACTTGCGCTGCTAAAAAATACGTTTGAGCCCACAACAAGCGTAGCTTCAAAGTGCTGACAATATTCTCAAGATTTTTTCTTTAAATGAAACTTTTGGATCAGTTATCACAAATAATTCTTCTTTTCAATGAACTGTCAAGCGGGCTTCTATTTGCGCCAATTTCTGCAAAATTAATTGTTGAAGAACATCTATGGATCTAAGAAATGCCTTGAAGTGCGTGGTATCGTTTCAAAGCCTGCCAATGTTCGAAAAGTGAACATTTGAACCGAATTTGTGTGTTTTCGATGAAATGCCAAGCGCCTTTTCGTATGTTCTGATAATTCCGCAAACTAATTTTTAAGAGACACTTATGCATCTGAAGAAAGAGGTTGAGCGCACGGCAAACGTTGCTTCATGGGTCTAAAAATATTTTCTAGATTGTTTTCCAAAAGTGAAGCGTTTCGGAGATTGATGGCAAATTTGCCTTCTTTTCAACGAAGTGTGATTCCTTCTTGTACCTGCACCAGTTTTTTCATAAATATTTATTGAAAAACACATATGCACCTATAGAAAGCTTTTGAGCGCATAGAAGCGTCGCTTCACAGGCCTGCCAAAAATCTGCAGACCATTTTCAAATAGTGAAACTTTCTGGGATGCTTGGAAATCCTTTCTTCTTTTCAATGGAGCGCTAACCGCCTTTCCATATATTCGGGTTTGTGCAAAATCAATTTTTCAATAAACAAGGTGTTTGGGTGCATGGCAAGCGCTCTTCGCCAGCCAATAATACCCAGACTATTTGCAAATAGTGACACTTTTTGGAATCTTCAAACGAACTTTTGCCTCTTCAATGCAGTTTTAAAGGCTCTTCCACAAGTCCCCGTTTGTAAACTTGTTTTGAAAATCAATTTTCAACACCTTCGCATCTAAGAAAGGCGTTGGGCGCGTCACATGTGTTCCTACAAAAGCCTGCCAATTTTCTCAGGATTTTTCCATAAAAATGAAACTTTCGGAGCAGGTCAGGCGAATTTTAGTTTTTCGATGGAGCAATCAAGTAGCTTCCTATCGGTCCTAGTTTTTTGCAAGACTAATTTTTAAAATGCGCAAGCTAAACTCGCTCTGTAACGACGCTTAAAACTGCGACGCTGACGAATGATTATTTTATTAATTGCACCAAAACAGGTGGTTACAATATTTAAATTATATTTTGTTTATTAACCGCAAGCTTAACCGATCGACGCGCAAATGTAGTATACGCTATTCTAATTTATGATAATCATCGTTACGTTTCATTGCCTAGATGTGAGACTCAATGCCAACTAGTTGGGTTCTTGAATCATTTTTTTATCTCCATGTTCAGTTTTTCACTTTGAACTTGATTGATTATATTTCCTGTTCTAACACAATTTCACATCAAGAAGTTTTTGGCCTTAGCATTAAGAGAATTCTTACCAAGTCGATGGTTACAATCAGGTCCGGTTGATGATGTTTCCCCTTCTTGGTTTTCTTCGTTTTCTTTAGTCCTGCATCCACTTTAGCAGGTGCTTGTCTGATGGGTTGGCCCTTCTGTTGCACATTGAGCTGCTTCTGTGAAGACTTACAAGGGGTTTTTGGCCCCCCTTTGGCCCCATGGGTCGGTGTTCTTGGACGTGGTTGCGTCACATGAGCATTACCATCTGCCGGCTTGTTTCTGGCCTGCAAAAAACAACCGAAACGTGAACAAATCATGCATCTAATCAGTTTGAATGAACTGAATTCGCATGCTTGATGAATCAATCAAATCGGTCAACAGAAATGAGTGTTTGGAAGCGTAAAGTCGCCTGCACCATTTTCTCGATTTTCTCTTAACAAACGCCTGGTATTTAATAAGTTGCATCGTTGCACTGAAATTTAACGCAATCTGCAAAACTGATCGACCTGGTTTACTTCAAGAATGAAGTTTAAGGTCTTTTTGTGGAGCGCCTGTTTTGAAGCTAAAAATATGTTGGCGCCTCGAACTGCAAAATTCGGCTAAAACGGGGGATTTTGGAATTTAGGCCATTTCAATGGCATTTCCCAATATATTAATACCGATGCAAACTTCTGTTCTGCTTTAATAAATCTGCAGTTTATTGGGCACTTAGGTGAACGCAGAAAAAAACTGCCTGAGGCATTCTAAAAGGGGCTCAGTTTCCTGGAAATAAGAGCATTTAATAAAATTCTAAAAGTTGCGAAATACCACCATTTAATTAATCTGGCAATAAAACACATCTTTCATATTTTTTTTAAACTTGTTAATAGATCACTTAAATAATATCCGTGAGATGGTGACTGAAATGAGCCGATTGAAGCCCACACGAACGACGCTAAAAGCAATAAAACGACTCCTCGTCTTCCAACCGAAATAGATCGTATTACCGAAATGTGGGACTTCAAAAAGTGAAACAAAGAAAAACCTCAATCACCAAACACCGAAATCCAAATATACAAAATTTTTCGGTTATTTCGTCACAACAATTCAGATCTCTCTAACCGATTGCGAATCGTATTCAGCTAAATTTAAATAGCGGGCGTGAAAAAATGTTGATGTGAATATATATTTTTGTATGCAACACTCTTGTTCAGTCTCAAGTTCTTCCCGCACTCTGGAACCATCGGTTTATCCATAAACTTTAACGGACTCAATCCATCAAAAAATGGTTTGTGTTTTTTGTGATTTTGTGCTGGTTTTGTGAGTTTTATTATAGAATATTTCTGTTTTGTTTTAAGCAAAATTTTAATCGTTTTAGTGCACTTAGTATGTAATATAAAATTATTTAATTTGAGGTTTTATATCCGCAGTTGGCATAGATATTCTCTTTGCTTAGAAAACAGTAGATAGCCTCTTAAATCACTAACACTCATCTTTTTAATTCTTTTACTTACGACTGACTGCATGCTGCAAATGGAAATTTTCTCTTAAACTGTGTGTGCAATAGCAGCGAAGAAAATAAAATTTCTATCTAAAAAAGGGCCCGAAAGAACTTTATGTAAGATTTACAAATAAAATCTTACGTAGGTACATATAAGATTTATTTTGGTAAAACTTTGACTTCTGCACTGTTATATACATTAAATTTGATATTTTATTAATTTTAAATTGTCTCCTTTACAGGCTATTTGTGTTATCGGCTAAATTTGTCCATTTCCCGATATCCTTAAATATTCTCAGGTATGTTCTTCATTCTCAAGTATATCCACGAGAATAAATTGAAGAGGGAAAAATTTAGTACTCAAAAATAACCAGCTGGTTTGATTTCAAAAATACCCAATAAACGAAGCAAAATCGCCCTTATTATTTTTTTTCTCAGCAGCTTTAGCTATCGCAAACCCTTCCAGTGCTATGGACTTTAGAGCTGCTGTTTTAATTGCTAACGATTGTTTAAAAACCTCTGAATATTTTCCCGATTTTTTGCTTAAAGTTAGWCTTTCTGRACATTTAAATCGAATTCTTTTCTTCTCAATTTAGTGCAAAGTAYCCTTCTATCTAYCCTAGTTTTTGTAAAATAAATTTTTGAAAAAAWCTTRAAATTTAAGGTGTGACAACACACSTWWWGWAARAARWCMMACKTCTGRAATCTTTSWCKTKAMAKTACTYKMWTWASCAAAGAAGAAGACTTTAMAGTCTTCAAYATTTMTTTGCTTATTCAACAATTATTTTCCCAATAGCACCTGCAAATGTAAGAAAAGCGCTGGGGYGCGTCTTAAGTGTTGCTTCAAAAGCCTGCCAATACTCTCCAGATTTTCTGCAAAAACTGAAATATTCACAAATAACTTGATTGCCAAGTGTTTTTTCTTTGCAGATTTCAGTGATATTTTTGCGTTTTATTAAAACAATTATTATTCGGTGTGATTAACAGAGCGATGTTTTTTGCATGAAAATATAATATGTAGATTTTTGCAACTTTTCCTTGCTTGCGAATGTTACATTCAGATTAGTCTAGTGAAAAAAAAACTCGTTTGTTTATCCGGGATTGTTTATATTGCTTTCTCTAAAAGAAAAATTATAAAATTTCCGTGTTTGAACCATTTTACCAATAATGAAAAGCTCAAGTATCTTAGACACTCGAAATTTACATTCTTGTTTATTCTAAAGCCTTTTTCTAAACAAAGTAAATGTGATTCTTCATGGCTTTTTTATATACAAACATTATTTTAAGGAATCCCAAAATTGCAGTCAAAATGACTACGGCAGTTTTAACCTTTAATGAAACGACGCGCTCTATTTTTGAAATCTCTAAAATTTGAAAAAACCTGTTACGATTTTTTTCAAAACCCATGTTTCTGATACATATTTTTTCTAGGTTTTTTTACCTCAACGCTCATACACCTTGTACAAAAATCCAATATCCAAACTAATACTCAGTCACTTTCGTTTTAAATACACAGATAAATTGGCATAAAATTGGTAATTTATCCAAAACAACAGCGGGTTGTTTTGCAAAATTCTGTTGACACAAATTGTTTGATAAATCGCTTTTAATAATCTCCATTTAATTTAAGGCGGCACTCGCGCCAAAAATTTGGAAATTTATTATCATCTGTTTTGCAAGCCGATGAAATTTCTAGCTTATTTCAATAGTTCGCATTATTTCGGGCTATATCAGATTTATTTTTAATAATGTCAGTTATTTTCATCTGCATGTGATTTGATGAAGTGTTGACTGAGAAGAATCACCTGCGATACTTCGAACATGACAAAAAACTAAACRAAACTGGAAAAATTGTGTACTTCTTTCGTTAAGATCAAATTTKACTGAAATTTTTCGCAACGTTATCGCTGATTCAAGATGCTTTCCCGAAKCTTYATAAAGTTTSAAAATATTGTAAGATTTTATTTTTTTTTTCAGGCGGAAGCGGAAGATCAGCAAATGCAATGTAAGTTTTGYACATTTACCAGTATTTAGCAATCATAAATTGGCARGATGAGTGATCCCAAGTWCATTTCAAGCCAAATAAACACTCGAACAAATCTCCATACCRCACTTTTCTGCTTATTATTGCTGAKTCAGTAAAGAATTTCAAGTATTTCAGTTATATAAGCAGTGAAATARTTAAAAGTGTTTGACTTTTGAGGCCATTGCTCGAAATTGTGAAAAAATACGATTTTAGTGCTTTCGCACTCGTGAAAAGCAATTTCTTGCCGAGCTTCCGCAAGCAGAAAGCCAGGAAGAAATTATTTTGCCATGACGACCTAAAGGCACAAAAAACTCAACAGTTTTGACAAAATAGTTGTTAGCTATTTCAGAAGATTTTAAATGCTCTTCAACCACTAATTTGGCCACAAGCAGTGCAAAATTCAGCTTAGAAACATTGAAACGTTGTTTTTTCTATACATTATCTTTCAGTGCTTAAAAGGGCATTTGGCATGTTCGACACTGCCAACAGAGGAACAATTGATCGCGAAAAAGTGCGCACAATTTTAACAACACTTGGACATTCCTACGATGACAAAGAACTGGAACAAATGCTAAAGGATGAAGATCCGGAAGGTGAGAATAGTTTAAAAAATTATAAAACAAGAAAGACAAATTAATAAATTTAGTCTTGCGAATTATTTTGCTCTGGAACTTACACATACAGGGTGTCCCGTGACTCGTGAAATTTATTTAATTTATGGTTAATATATTGTGACAACAATGCATGAGCGTCTAGAAATATCAGGAAAGGTATGCTGATCGAAGAATATTGAATAAATAGTAGCTTTGGGAAACCGATTTTTTATCTTAGCGATTCTTAAATAGTCGAACGAAGCACACTTTTCCATTTCTTTCCAATTTCCATTCATCGATCTAAAAATAGCTAATCCATATAGAATGAAGAAATTTGCCGACATTAATCTATATTTCTCCAAAAATGCGTCCCTTGAACAATAAAGCAGTTTAAACGAAATAACAGCAAAGACGCCCTCGAAAGCGGGCTGAAAGAAAAATTGATAACCCTTGCGAATATGGGATAACAAAATCTAATAAAAGCTAGTAGTCATGCCATGACATTGAAGAAATTATCTCCACCTTAATCTTTCCAAGATGCAAGTGATATATCAAGTCTCGAGGGTGATTGAAAGTTGGCCCAAAGTTTTATTGAAATTTATAGCCATCGGCTTCTGCAATATCGAGAGAGAGTAATATCTTGGCCATGATTGAGCAGAAATTTTTTATTGATTTAACAATAAGCAACACTCGTATCGCTGTTAGTGATTATCGTAACTTAAGTTAATCAAGGAATTCGCCTCGTTCAAAATGCCCCGAAAATCGTTCGAGTATCACTGTTTATGACAAACAAAAGTTAAATCGATTCATAACTATGAAAATCATCCATTATCCTGTTCGGTTAGTTTCGAAGATAGATAACCCGTCGAACTCTGGGGATATTTAGATATATATTTAACAGAGCAATTACTCTTCGCCAGAAAACATTTCCGATTTGGGTTTCGCCATGCACTGAACATCCTGGGACTAGAATTTCATCTGGATTGCCCGATTTACTTTCGCCGGATATTTACATACAAAATGGTTAATTAACTGCTACTTACATAATAACTAATTTCACACCGTCTAAAGGTATGCAAATTTCGAACATTATTCAGTCAGCGCTGAAATTTACGGAAAATACTCCCTCAAGTATCACTAAAGACGCTGTTTGCATTCGCGCTAATGATCTCATTTAGTAAACCGGTAAATTTTTCGCCACTCTGGCAATATTCCAGATAAATTTCCAGAGTCGGTGTAATTGGACAGGTCTAAAGTGGCATTAAGGTTTATTAGCGCGTTATTTATGCACTAATAGTGATAATAACGCCGATTAACCGAGGAAAAGTATTTAGTGGCTTAAACACCTTCTAACACTATTAATTGGTAATTTCATCAAAATGAAAAAAACTGCAAATTCACTTTATATACTCCAATAGACTTTTAGTAAGCCGGCGGATTTATTTTGGGTAGTGGTACAAAAATATCATTTTCACAGTATTGAAGCGCATTTTGAGAAAATTAAGTTGAAATTTAGCGTAAAAATAGTATACCTACAAGTCTGTCTGTAATTGGTTGGTTTTTTTAATCAAGCCAATTTTTATGAAATGGCAGATTTCAAAATTTCAGAATCCCAAAGTTCTCTTGAAATGAGGTGAAAAAAATTTTCTTTCTTGTAAAAAAATACAAAAACTCAAAACAGTTGAAAGTAACCTTTAAGTGAAAAAGAATACAATCTGACGGCTTTCGGTTCGTTAAAGCTCCTGAATCTTTGAAAAACCTAAAAAAAGTAGAAAGATGAATTTCTCAACATAAAAAAATACAGGCACAAATGAAGTATCGAAAAAGGCAGACCGCTAATGGTAAAAATTGTTAAAAAATACGTGAAAATGGAGGAAAACGCCTTCAGGAAATGGAAATTGTTCGAGAGCTACTAGAAGATGATCCAGATCGGCGACCAAAATTTTACGATTTATTGATGAAAACCGTTTCTCATTAGAGTAAAATCTTTTTGAGTCGAGACTACTTTTGTTTCAATTGCTCACGAAAATCGTCAAATCCGTCGTTATTAGGTCGAAAAAAACCTCAATCGGATGAAAATACCATCGTCAAAAGACAGAAGAGTTGGCACATTTACAGCACATTTTGAACAATTTTTGGATTGAAAATAAATTATATTTTTGAACTGGGTTTTGACTGTGTGCGACCCTCAAACACGCAAAAAAGCGTTTCCGCTACCTTTTCAATGAGAATTTACAAGCCAAACATGCAAAAAACACGTTGAGGTTTTTTTTGGCAAAATTGTTCTTTTTTCCGCTAGCAAATTTATTCGAGTTGTTAAAGTCTCAGCTCTGTATGTTGTAAGCAACAAAAACTATTACTTTGTATAGACTCTTATAACTTTCAATAAACCCCACTTTATATGTGCTTTTATATTGTTCGTTTCTCAGTCATTTAATTTGATTTTTGCTGTTACAACTTGTTTCAGAAAATGGAGCTGTAGACATTGAAGCCTTTTGCCGCGTTGCGTCCCATTTCTTAGAGAATGAAGATGAAGAGGCCATGCAAAAGGAACTAAAAGAAGCGTTTCGATTATATGACAAAGAAGGTAGGAAAAGACGATTTTTGAAAGATATTGGGAAAATGCTTTCATTCGAAAAGCAAGACCGTAAAACCGGAGCCAGTTGGGGTTTGCAACTGCAATGCAAAAATAAGTTCCTGTCCGAATCCAAGTCCTTTTAGTTACATTTTCTATAAGCTGCTTCATCATCCACTTAAGTCCATTTCACTCGATCTTAATTTATTTGGGGGCAAAAAATGAATTTTTTGCCCACATCTTATTCAATTCGACTATTGACTGATTGTGGCAAAGACCGTAATTGATCACAAGTGCTCCTGACCCAGAAACAACTTTATTTTTGATTTCTTTCAACTTTGGACGCTTGATAGATGGTCGAATGGAAATCACACGATCATGATTTCAGGCAATCATCGCAGTGCGAACTGAAATGCTACTAATTCTGCAAATGCCCATCAAACTGATCGATGCTGGTTCGAAAATATCCCGAGTTTCTGCTAATTTGTTCAAAAAGTTGTTTGTTGTTGGAAAGGATGAAAAAATCCAAATATGTCTGGAGAGTTTTGAAAAACCTTTAACAATACACACTCTCATGGTGGTTGTTTACTGTAAAACAATGAAACTACAGATGAAAATAGCCGATCACTCAGTCAGCTCCTGACGGTTTATTTGTTTGCACACTTGAACAAGATATAAAAAATACAACTAATCTTGAAATGGAACGCCACTTGAACAATGCTTTAAATAGAACGACAGTGTAATTTTCCAAGAAGCTAATGATTTTCTGTTTGCCAGGCAATGGTTATATTCCCACCTCAAGTCTGCGGGAAATTCTTGCTGCCTTAGATGATCAACTCACTGGCGATCAGCTTAATGAAATGATTGCTGAAATCGACACTGATGCCTCAGGAACAGTAGATTTCGAAGGTAATGGGCAAAAATGTAATTCTGGATTTTTAGTCAACTGGTTTTTCTCGTAGAATTCATGGAGATGATGACTGGAGACTAAGGGATTCAAGTCAAATAAAACCTCACCTATATAAACTTTACCAGCTTGTGTAATTTGCTGCTGAGTTAATAAAGGAAAACCGTTAAATTTTGTTTTTAGTTATTTGATTTTTATTCGTAAAGGCCAGTCGTTTGCTGGGAAAAATTGTTTCTTTTCTGAAGCGTCCTTCCAGAGGTTCGAGTTTTTT